GGCTCGAACTCATGGACCGCGAGATCGTGACCTGGCTGAAGTCAGACGCTTAACCGACTGCACCACCCAGGCGCCCCAAGGGGCTGCACTCTTATCAAGAGTGTTGGTCTCTATCGGTCGGCCTTGCCTCTCATTGTAATAAACTTTGTTGTGACTGTCACTGGTGCCTGTAGCATTCTGTTTCAGGAGTCGTATGGATGCAACACCGCGATCACTAGACTGTAGGGCATGTATGCTTTTAACTCTTTGAAGAACCGCCTTCCTGTTGTCCAGGGTGGCTGCACCAGTCTGCATTCCCAGCAACGGTGCACGAGCGCTCCTTTCTCTGCACCCCGTCGCCAACCTGTGTTGGATGACGGGCACCGTGGCCGAGGGTGAGGTCACGCCTCGCTGGGGTCTCCGTCCTGCGTGCACGCGCATAAGGGGAAGGTTCCGCAGCACGGCTGCAGCCACGGTTTCCAGACGATGTTGCCCAGGGAAAACTGGGGGGGCACAGGACTCAGGGTCCTCCTGTGCCGTTCCAACGCCTCGTGCACCCGCGCCAGCACCGCGTGGTACCGGGGCTCCAAGCCAGGGGACAGGGGCCGCGTCTCCGAAGGGTCCCTGGACAGGTCGAAGAGCAGAGGCGGGCTGTGCTGGGTCACGCCGTCCCCGGAGCAGGGGCACACACCTTGGCCGTGGCAGGCCCCCGCCCCCTCGGGGTGGAATCGCGGTGTCATATAGTGAACCTTCCAGAGTCTTCCGCCTAAAGGCAAACAGGGAGGCGGTCAGGGCAGCACGAGCCAGCAGAGCCAAGAGCCAGCCCCAGGGACGTGTTCCACGTCCCGTTCAAATGGAGACGAGAGAATAAGCAGCGGATGCTCTTGCAAGTTTGAAAAGACATCACGTCCTCGTGTGTGTGTGTGCGCGCGTGTGTGTGGGTGCGCACGTGTGTGTATGGTGTGCTCCAGGCACACCCAGGCCAAGGGACTCATCCCAGAGTGTTCAGTGACACACTGAAAGGACCGTGACAACATGGAGAACAATGGCAGAACAGTCAGGGGTGAGGCGCAACTAACCACGGCACCTAGGGGGAATTTCATGTGTCATCACGGCCAGCCTACGGCACCCAGACACGTGGTCAAACACTAGCCTACGTGTCAGTGCGGCGGGGACTTTCTTGGGTTGTGTTTTTTTTAGAGGAGATGAACAGTTCCATTAGTACACTACCCTCCATATTGTGGGTGGGCCTCACCCAATCAGTTGAAGGACATAAGCGAGCAGACAAAGGGCCCCTGAAGAGGAAGGAATTCTGCCTCCAGAGCAGAAATTCTGCCTCAATTTCCAGCCTCTGGGCTCAAGATGGCAGCATGCACGCGTTCCAGGCTGCTGGCCACCCCTGAAGATTTCAGACCTGCCGCTCCCCATGGCTGCATGAGACAATTCTTTAAAATCTCTCCCTGTTTCCAACCATCCATCCATCCATCCACCCTCCATCCATCCATCTATCCATCCATCCATCCATCCATATCTGTCTTTATCTTCTATCTCTATCATCCATCCATCTACTACCTATCATATCTATGTCATTAGCTCTTAATCTATCCTGTCATCCGTCCACAATCTGTCATCTAATCATGCATCCATCCTCTATCATTTATCTACAAATCCATCCATCCATATCTCCATCCATGCACCTGTCTGTCCACCCATACATCCATCCACCCATCCATGTATCCATCTGTCCACCCATCCATCCATCCCTCTGTCCATCCACTCATCCATCTGTGCATCCATCCATCCATCCGTCTATCCATCCATCCATCCATCTCTCCATTCATCCATCCATCCATCCATCTGTCTGTGCATCCATCTACCATCCATCCGTCAATCCACCCATCCACCCTCCATCCATACATCCATCCATCTCTCCATCCATCCACTCATCTGTCTGTCCATCCATCTACCATCCATCCATATCTGTCTTTATCTTCTGTTTCTATCATCCATCTATCATTTATCTGTCATCTATCCATCTATCCATCATCCGTCTATCACCTGTCTACCCTTCCATCCATCTGTCCACCCACCCATCCACCATCTATCCATCCATCCACCTGTCCATCCATCCATCCATCCATCCATCCATCCATCTGTTCATCCATCCACCGAGCCATCCATCCATCCATCCATTCATCTCTCCATCCACCCATCCACCCATCCATCTGTCCATTCATCTCTCCATCCATCCACCCACCCATCCACCCTCCATCCATCCATCCATCCATCCATCCACCCATCCATCTGTCCATCCATCTATCCATCCATCCACCCATCCATCCACCCATCCATCTGTCCATCCATTCATCCATCTACTCTATATCCACCCACCTATCCGTCCATCCATCTGTCCGTCCATCTGTCCATTCATCTATCTGTCCATCCATCCATCTGTCCATCCATCTACCATCCATCCATATCTGTATCTTCTATTTCTATCATCCAGCCATCATTTATCTGTCATCTATCCATCTATCCATCATCTGTCTATCACCTTTCTACCCTTCTACCCATCTGTCCACCCTCCATCCACCCTCCACCCATCCATCCGTCCATCCGTCCACATCTGTCTTTATCTTCTATTTCTACCATCCATCCATCTATCGACCTATCATCCATCTATCTCATTAGCTATTAATCAATGTATCCTATCATCCATCCATCACTTATCTGTCATCTACCCATCTACCCATCATCTATCACCTGTCTACCCTTCCTTCCATCCATCCATCCATCCATCCACAGTCCATCTGTCTGTCCATCCATCCCACACACTCTTGGTTCTGTCTCTCAGGGGAACCCTGACTAATGCAAGCCCCCTCCTGCCACAAGAGAAGAGTGTGTACTCACTGTCTTTATCGTGCCAGCGTGCTGCGTGCAGATACTTCCCGCAGTAATGAAACAGGAATTCGTGTGCTGAGTGCTCGGCAGTCCCTTGCAACAAGGGCACCAGGCTACGGCCATCGATCACCCTGATTCAGTGAAGAGACACAGGAAGGAATCAGACCAAGGTTCTTCGTGCAGTGTTGCACAGGCAAATGAAACGCCAAGCTTGGAGGGGGCCCCCGCTGAGGGCAAGGGAGACGAGCCATCTCCCCAGTATCATGCAGATGGCAGGTTGCTGAGCGAGATGCATACTGTTTTTAGACACAAAGTCACTAAGTCGTGGGGTCACTTCTTCCACACAAAGTCATCTTAAATTCTGGCTGGACTGCCCAGGCCCCTGATTTGAGTGTTAATGTAGCAGAATCGTAACATAACATATTATGTTATGATTTAAAATCATAACAGATTCCAAGACATGTTGTCACATGTCTATAGGAGCTGGGTAGGGAAGCCAGTAACGGCCACGTGACCTGAAGTGTCTTCCTTACAAACAACTTATATTTTTAAAAAGTCCTTAATCTGGGAGCACCTGGGTGGCTCAGCCAGTTAAGCGACTGACTTCGGCTCAGGTCATGATCTTGCGGTTCACGAGTTCGAGACCCGCGTCAGGCTCTGTGCTGACAGCTCAGGGCCTGGAGCCTGCTTCAGATTCTTTGTCTCCCTCTCTTTCTGCCCCTCCTGCACTCACACTCTGTCTCTGTCTCTGTCTCTCTCTCTCAGAAATAAATATTAACAACAAAAAAAGTCCTTAATCTGAACTGAATGTAAAAATGGAGTTATTTTCCCTTTTATTTTAATTGTACCCTAGTTGTGATGGTTCCATCTTCTGTGTCTACTTGGCTGGGTTATGACGCCCAGGGATTTGGTGAGACACCAGCCTAAGGGTTACCATGAAAGCGTTTTTTTAGATACGGTTAACATCCACAGTCAATGGACTTAGAGCAATGCAGAGCATCCTTGATAATGAGGGTGGGCCCCACCCAATCAGTTGAAGGAGAGTTTCAAGAAGGGAAGGATGTGTTCAGAATCTTGCCAAGAGCAAAGCCTGAGTTTTCCCAGAGAAGATGAAATTCCGTCTCAAGACTATGACACGGAAAATCTGGCTGCATTTCCAGCCTGCTGGCCCGACATGAGGATTTCAGTTGAACAGCCTCCACAGTTGCCTGAGCCAATTCCTTAAAATCAAGGTCTTACTTGATAAACCCACAGACACGTACCTGAACATAGTGTATTGGTTTTGCCTCTTTTACTCAGAAGTATTTATTTGTCGTCTTAAAATCAAATCATTGTGAAAAGATTTACTTTTTTGTTTTTACCCTGTATTAGCGTGAGCCTTTGGTAATGTGCAGATATCGAGGCCACAGCCTCATCCGCCTATGGGCAAGACCGCCTTTTCAGGAAATCATAGGGGGATGTTTTCCAACGGACTGACTTCTACTGCTTTAATTTCCCGATTGTTGCAGTTATCAAATTCTACCCACTCGGCAAAACCAGTCAATGGACCCAATAGTGTATTTAATCATGTTTTCGCGAGTATGGTTATTTTGTGTTGTTAGGCTGACCCTTACCTTTGAGGACGTGAGAACCTTTTAGATGTTCTCACGTTGTGGTTGTTTTTCTCCCCCACGTGTGAAATAGTGCAAGGGTAGCTGTCAGGAACTGGGGAACAGAGGGTCTCATTGTACGTGTACCTGTCCTGGGGCACGTGGCCGCCCCCCAGCTCGACCACGGTGGGGAAGACATCCATCAGACTGGTGGGCTCGTGGATCACTCGGCCGGCTGGCAGCACCCCAGGCCACCGGAAGATCCCCGGGACGCGGATGCCGCCTTCCCAGCCCCCCATCCCTTTGCCACCTGTAAGGAAGTGCCATTAGGGTTGTCCAGGAGACGGTCTCATCCACACACACCTGGGCACACCTAGTGTTTCCCTGGACACCTACGCCCATCAATGCACTCCGCGGCAGGCTGCGTTCCCCATAAATGGTTGTGGCAATAATTCCAGAACCTCGTCACTCCCCCACGGGCACGTGGAGTCTGTACACTCTCCCCTTGTGATTCAGGGTGTCTTTGTGACCGCCAGAAAAAATGGAGTGTGCAATGCATGGCATCAGGGGCATAATGGCCCTGGAGTTTCACACCGTGTGCGGCTGGTGACCCCTATCTTATTCCATCCTTTTTCCTTCCTGAAGGACTGGGAACTGGGTCTGGGACCACCGTCCCTCCCCCACCTCTCCTCCTTTCCCACCTGCTCACCACACCATCCACCTGTTCCTTTACCCCTTGCGTGGTTCTTCCTCATTTCTGGGGTGCCTGGCAATGAGTTGGGACCCAGCTTGGCTTTTGGGGAAACACGCACAACTACTGAGCATTAGGGAACATGCTTATGTTGCCTAGGAACTCTGGATAGAGGAGTTAAAGCAATCTTATGTTACAGAAGGAGAGTTTTAAGAAGGGAAGGATGCGTTCAGAATCTCGCTAAATAAAGGCTTCTTTGCCACAGTTCA